CCATTAAAAATAAGTTTGTTGCTCATATATAATTTAATATTATTATATTAATGTTCAAGGTGCAGTTAGGTTCTGTTGGCGATTATATATATTCAACCCGTCCTCGACTCAAGTCCATTACATCCAGCGGTCGACCCCACAGACGCATTCATAAATTTTAACATGCTGTTTATTCAAAACGGGAATTTTCTCAAGTATAAATTAATATTATAATATATTAACATATTGTGCATATATAGGCATAGGTTAGGTTAGGTGTTTAGGTTATGTTGGCGATTATTTGTATTTGTAGTACGTGGGTGAAGCATTTACAGCGTTGTGATTCGAACAAAATTCGTCAGTGAAGCACTTGTTCCGGAAGTGTTCGAACGTCAGCAGTTGAGTCGCGTGTAAACCGTTTTTCATTCATAAACAGGGGGGTTTGGCGGGTGCATGGAATCACTTTTGGATCTTTGTTTGGAGGACGGGCTGGTATACTCGTAGTACGTGGCATTTACAGCATTGTGGTTCGAACAGAGGGCGTCAGCGAAGCACTGTTCGAGAAATGTTCGAACGTCATCTGTTGTGAGTCATGTAGCAATGTTTTCATTCATTAGGGGGGGAGGGGGGGGGGTTTACACGGCTGGCTTAACGAGCATTTGTCATTTGTTGACGAGGACGGACTGTGTAGTTAACTACTTAACCTAACGACTCCTGGTTCAACCTTGACGTCGTCTGGACACACACGGCCCCAGACTCGTCAAGCATATAACTGACGAAACCTGTACATCTTTCCACGATCACGGAGCCTGAGTTTGCCTTTATCAAACAGTTAATGAGCCCCGAAGCACTACGAGGTTATATATAACAATAATAACCCTGTGTTGTGAAGTTTCAAAGCTCGGAATAAGGAAAGATATACAGGTTTCGGAAGTAGTTGTGTAAATGTTTCACGAGTTCTAGCTCCTGGTCTGCCTGAGGACCGTCGGATCCCGTGATGCGATTTTGACAAAATGATTGTTATTGTTATAGATTCAGCTACTGGGAACAAAAAGTTCCAAGTAGCACGGGCTATGGTGAGCCCGTAGTGGACTTACCTGGCACAGGAGCGGAGCTGCTGTTGTTGTTTTTAGATTTAGCTACTCAGATCGAAATGTCCATGTAGCACAGGCTACAGGCCTAAGCCCGTAAAGCGGTACTGTAACTAGTTGGCTTCTCGATAAGCGTCCCTCAGTTCTTGGGCTGATACATCCCCGGGCACACGTGTATCCCGAGGTCACGGGCGAGGTGATAGACCGTTTTCGTTTTCCGGTTGGATCTTCAGGTGTGTGTGTGGGGCCCCCGCTGTGCCTTAGGGGCGTGTGTGGGGCCCCCGCTGTGCCTTAGGGGCGTGTGTGGGGCCCCCGCTGTGCCTTAGGGGTATACGTAGGGCCCCCGCTGTGCCTTAGGGGCAAGTGTGGGGCCCCCGCTGTGCCTTAGGGGCAAGTGTGGGGCCCCCGCTGTGCCTTAGGGGCAAGTGTGGGGCCCCCGCTGTGCCTTAGGGGTATACGTAGGGCCCCCGCTGTGCCTTAGGGGCGTGTGTGGGGCCCCCGCTGTGCCTTAGGGGCGTGTGTGGGGCCCCCGCTGTGCCTTAGGGGCGTGTGTGGGGCCCCCGCTGTGCCTTAGGGGCGTGTGTAGGGGCCCCGCTGTGCCTTAGGGGCATGTGTGGGCGAGGGGGACCTTATATACAAGGTTCTCATTTCTCGTCATGTTGGAGATGAGTGATTAGCAAGAGGATGGTAATGTCGACGAGAGTGAGGTTGCCCGCGCTGGTAATGGCCGCTGTGTCACCTCGACAAACGACGGAGTCATCTCTCTTGAACGTGAGTCGGTTTGTCTTTTGTTAAAATTTTCTCGCTGTCCACCTTTATTCTCTCTGTTTCTCCTACTTCATTCTCACCCTTCTTCCCTTCACTCTAATTCTTGATTTCCTTTTCCCCCCCATTTTCCATCCTTTCTCACCCCCCTCACCTCTCCATCATTCTCCATCACACTCCTCCCCCACACTCCTCCACTCTCCATCTATTTTAGAGTTCGTCACGGACTCATCCGTCGTCACTCGTCTCTGAGGGCGTTTCCTCACGAAAATACTCACTTGTGTCACACCTCCGTCCATGTGGTGTGTGTGTGGAGCTGATCTCTGCGTTGCGTCACGCACCTCTTCTGCGTCACGCACTCCTCTGCGTCACGCACTCTGCTGCGACTAAGGCCTAGGATTGCTTATTTAGACCTACGTCAGATACTGTTATGTTGATACTGTTAACATGGCATTTGAGGTACTCCAATAGTACAAAACGGGACATTTTGAGTACAACAGTCCAGTTTTGTACGTTCGAGCAATAGTTGCTATACGTACTGTCATTTTTTGGGGGGGATGGTTTGAGAGAAATACAAGTCGTAAGGCATTAACGCCAAGGAAAATTTTCAGCACCGGTGAAAATGACGGAAGTCTTCCACCGGTAGTTGATATTTTAGCAATTGGCTCATTTGGGCGCAGGTGTAGCGCAGGTGTAGCGCAGGTGTGTTGATGGGAGTAGGTGTGTGTGGGTGTGGGCGTTGCCTGGTCGTCTTTATTGATATAATGATACACACACAATGTGTACTAATGTGAGTGTGTGTGTGTGTGTGTGTGTGTGTGTGTGTGTGTGTGTGTACTCACCTAATTGAACTCGCCTAGTTGTGCTTACGGGGGGTTGAGTTCGAACCACTCCTAGGCAGGTAGAACGATTGGGCACCGTTTTCAAACATACTGTTCCATGTGCCCCAACCAGCATATAGGGATCCCTTGAAAATATATATATATATATATATATATATATATATATATATATATATATATATATATATATATATATATATATATATATATATATATGGCGCTAGATAACCTATTTACCTACCTCAGTACATTAAAACTACACACAAACATCACCTCTCTCTCTCTCCCTCCATCAGAGCTCACGTGGAGGCTGCTGGAGGAGCTTGGTGCCCCCGGCAGATCATCTACAAGGAGGACACGGAGTACCTGGAGGTGTTCCTGGGCGAGGAGCACGTGGTCACCAAGGTGGAGGTGCAGGGCAGGTTCGGCAACGGTCAGGGCAAGGAGTACGCTGAGAGGTACAGGTTAATGTACTGGCGGCCCGGGCACGACCACTGGACCACTTACGTCAGTGGGCACGGCGAGGAGGTGAGTACTGGAGGCATGGACCATTAGTGGCCCCGGTATGGTCCACTAGTGGCCCCGGTATGGTCCACTAGTGGCCCCGGTATGGACCACTAGAGGCCCGGTATGGACCACTAGAGGCCCGGTATGGACCACTAGAGGCCCGGTATGGACCACTAGAGGCCCGGTATGGACCACTAGAGGCCCGGTATGGACCACTAGAGGCCCGGTATGGACCACTAGAGGCCCGGTATGGACCACTAGAGGCCCGGTATGGTCCACTAGTGGGCCCGGTATGGACCACTAGTGGCCCGGTATGGTCCACTGGACCACTATGTCGGTAGCCGAGATAACGTGCCGAGTTGACCTGAATTTACGCGAATTGAATGGAATGAGTTTCCCGCTATCTTGGATAATATAGTCAGTTTCTGGGTCATGTTGATTAAGGATAACAATAGACTTGAGAATGGTCCAGGACGGACCGAAACGTCGTCGTCTCTTCACCTTCTAGTGTGTGGTCTGGGTCAACATTATTGTGACTCCTCGTCTGCTTTAAGGGGTAACATTGTTGTTAAGCCATTTGTTACTAATTTTAAGGGAAAGATGATTTTACATCCTTGTTGAATTTGTGACCCAAGAGAGCGACGTGGAAAATCTTAGACCTATCTGAGGTTTAGTTAAGTGATGATTAGCGATCTGATGATTGGTGATTTAGATCATCAATGAGTTTTGTAGAGTTTGAAAATCCCGTCTGTCCCCAACCCGTTCTCGCAAATTCGTAAAGTCAATATTGACTTATTAACTACGTGCATAGGTGATATACTAAACATAATAGATACCCTTAAAAAGATTCATAGAAAACACCGACCTTACCTAACCTTGTTAGTATCTTAAGATAAGCATCTTATTGCTTCGTAATTACAATTATTACTTAACCTATACCTATTATAGGTTAGGTAATAATTGTAATTACGAAGCAATAAGATGCTTATCTTAACATACTAAGTAGGTTAGGTAAGGTCGGTGTTTTCTATGAATCTTTTTAAGGGTATCTATTATGTTAAGTATGTCACCTATGCACATATTTAATAAGTCAATATTGACTTATTAAATTTGCGAGAACGGGTTGCTGTCCCATGCCACGGTTGCTTCCTGGAAATGAGTAAGACAGAAGTTGTGACAGTTTAATGTCAGCTCTTGATAAGAGTTCTTGGGGGGGGGGGGGTCTCCAAGTTCCAGTTCTTGCGACGGGTTACTCTTGAGTGACAACCTTGAGTCATCATGAGTCGTGATTTAAAACTAAGATTTAAGTTTAGTCATTTATTATGCACCCTATGCCATGAACGGTGATGGATAGGGCTTCAGAGGGACGTGATGGATAGGGCTTCAGAGGGACGTAATGGGTTCAGGGACTCGATCCCATTCTTCATTTAACTAAACAAGTAACAATCGTGTGAAACTACACAATTTTTTTTTAACTAGAGATTGTTTTTATAATATTAGACAATATTGAGTGTATATAATGATGGTTTACGGAATATATGTGAGTAACACAACCATTTCTCTTCTAACTCATGAGTTCATTTCACTCATCTTTGTTTCCCTGATCAATTTGTATCATTGTCGACGGAGAGCCAGTCGGCCGAGCGGACAGAACACTGGACTTGTGATCCTGTGGTCCCGGGTTCGATCCCGGGCGCCGGCGAGAAACAATGGACAGAGTTTCTTTCACCCTATGCCCCTGTTACCTAGCAGTAAAATAGGTACCTGGTTGTTAGTCAGCTGTCACGGGCTGCTTCCTGGGGGGTGGAGGCCTGGTCGAGGACCGGGCCGCGGGGACACTAAAGCCCCAAAAATCATCTCAAGATAACCTGAAGAAGATTGTGGTTTAGTCAGAGGGTGAGTTGAGGGAATGAGTGTGGTCCGCTGTGCAACATTGATCACAGGCTGCACACACACACACACACACACACACACACACACACACACACACACACACACACACACACACACACACATTAGATATTAGAAAGAACTTTTTTAGTGTCAGAGTGGTGGACAAATGGAATGCATTAGGAAAAGATGTGGTGGAGGCTAACTCCATACACAGTTTCAAGTGTAGATATGATAGAGCCCAATAGGCTCAGGAATCTCAAAGGCGCAGGAATAGGCAGTTCGTCTCCCTTCATCACAGCCCATCCTTCTCTCTTTCACCACCTCCTGCTTCTTCTTCTCCTCCTCCCTCCTATCTGTCTTTCTTTTCGACTTCCTGAATCTAATGGCCTCTAACTCCAAGGAACTTGCAAGCGCCGAAGTTCCATTAAGGTTTTTGTGTTCAGGTAAACACAGGCTGGGGAAGTTGTGTAGTTAATCAAGCCTCGGGTCATTTATGCCTGTCGCTTGGCCCTTCTGTCTCTGTTTCTCTGTCTCTCTCTCTCTCTCTCTGTCTCTCTCTCTCCCTCTCTCTCTGTGTCTCTCTCTCTGTCTCTCTCTCTCTCTCTCTCTCTCTCTCTGTGTGTCGTCTCTCTCTCTCTCTCTCTGTGTCTCTCTCTCTCTCATCTCTCTCTCTCTCTCTCTCTCTCTCTCCTCTCCGCTCTCTCTCTCCACTCTCTCTCTCTCGCCTCCCTCTCTCTCTGTCTCTCTGTCTCTCTCTCTCTCTCTCTCTCTCCTCTCTCTCTCTCTCTCTCTCTCTCTCTCTCTCTCTCTCTCTCTCTCTCTCTCTCTCTCTCTCTCTCTCTCTCTCTCCTCTCTCTCTCCTCTCTCTCTCTCTCTCTCTCTCTCTCTCTCTCTGTGTCTCTCTCTCTCTCTCTGTCTCTCTCTCTCTCTGTCGTCTCCTCTCTCTCTCTCTGTCTGTCTCTGTCTCTCTCTTCTCTCTCTCTGGTCTCTCTCCTCTCTCTCTCCTCTCTCTCTCTCTCTGTCTCTCTCTCTCTCTCTCTCTCTCTCTCTCTCTCTCTCTCTCTCTCTTATATTTACGTATACATTTCCCTACCTCTGATCTTTCTCCTGCTGCCACAACATCCTATTTCCTTTTCCTTGTATCCTCACCCTCTTCCTCCTCCTCAAGCTGCTATTGCAACCCCTCCCATCCCTCCTTCCCATCCCCCCTTCCTCTCGTTTTCCTCTGTCTAATCTCTCCCACCCACCCCTCACCATCCCCCCTCCGACCAACTAGCCTGGGCTGAGCAGCCTGAGATATTGACCATAAGAGAGCTCGGCGGAATGCCATCTCGCATATGCCATTAGATCCCTTCATCTCGGGTCTCGTTGTAAAAATAGAATCAGTTGATGTCACTTTTTACACCATCATGGCGTCTACTTTTTGTTGTCATCATTCTCTCTTCACCCGCGTCTCCTCCTCCGGCTGTGCCTCTTCCTTTTATTTTAGATTTTTGTTGAAGAAATGAAAGAAAAGGGGGAAAAACATTTTTGCTGCCTTTGCACGCCATGAAACAGGATTTTTGTGTTTTAGAGTGTTCTAAACTACCCATTGGATCTCTCTCTCTCTCTCCTCCCCCCCACACTTGCACCGGTCGGTACAGCAATTACTTGTAGCTTCATGCAAGGTCGGGGTTCGAACCCCAATATAATCCTTCACTCCTTCCTCGTAACCCAGCTCCTATCTCGTCCTCCTCCTCCCATGTTCTACCTATTTTGAATTATAGCATTAAGCATGGTTAGCTAAAGTGGGAAGGTAACGTCTTGAACAGTCGTGAAGACTACGGAGAAGCTGGTTTGACCAGAGATGCTCAAATGATGCTGGGGATGGTGGTAATAATTAGCTGGTGGTTTGTTTGGCTGTGGTGTCTAGCAGTTGGTGAAGACTATGACCAAATTAAGAGTTGGAATATATATATAATATGAAGGAAGATTTACGAGACAAGTTGACTGTTATATTTGATCTTGGCTACAACAAAGAAAACTTAGTTCTACTTCATTCACCTCTTTCCCCCCCCCTCTCTCCCACACTCACCTCTCCCCCTCTCTCCCACACTCACCTCTCCCCCTCTCTCTCCCACACTCACCTCTCTCCCCCTCTCTCTCCCACACTCACCTCTCCTCCCTCTCTCTCCCACACTCACCTCTCCCCCTCTCCCACACTCACCTCTCCCCCTCTCTCTCCCACACTCACCTCTCCCCCTCTCTCTCCCACACTCACTCTCTCCCCCTCTCTCTCCCACACCTCTCCCCCTCTCTCTCCCACACTCACCTCTCCTCCCTCTCTCTCTCTCCCACACACCTCTCCCCCTCTCTCTCCCACACCTCTCTCCCCCTCTCTCTCCCTCACCTCTCCCCCTCTCTCTCCCACACTCACCTCTCCTCCCTCTCTCTCCCACACTCACCTCTCCCCCTCTCTCTCCCCACACTCACCCCTCCTCCCTCTCTCTCCCACACTCACCTCTCCTCCCTCTCTCTCCCACACTCACCTCTCCTCCCCCTCTCTCTCCCACACTCACCTCTCCTCCCTCTCTCTCCCACACTCACCTCTCCCCCTCTCTCTCCCACCTCACCTCTCCCCCTCTCTCCCACACTCACCTCTCCCCCTCTCTCTCCCACACTCACCTCTCCCCCTCTCTCTCCCACACTCACCTCTCCCCCTCTCTCCCACACTCACCTCTCCCCCTCTCTCTCCCACACTCACCTCTCCCCCTCTCTCTCTCCACACTCACCTCTCCCCCTCTCTCTCCCACACTCACCTCTCCCCCTCTCTCTCTCCCACACTCACCTCTCCCTCTCTCTCTCACTCACCACTCACTCTCTCCCCACACTCACTTCTCCCACACTCACCTCTCCCACACTCACTCTCCCACACTCACCTCTCCCTCTCTCACCTCTCACCACTCCCTCCTCCACTCTCTCCCACACTCACCCCCTCCCTCTCTCTCCCACACTCACCCCTCCCTCTCTCTCTCCCACACTCACCCCTCCCTCTCTCTCCCACACTCACCTCTCCCACACTCTCCCCACACTCACCTCTCCCTCTCTCTCCCACACTCACTTCTCCCACACTCACTTCTCCCACACTCACTTCTCCCACACTCACCTCTCCCACACTCACCTCTCCCACACTCACCTCTCCCACACTCACCTCTCCCCCTCTCTCCCACACTCACCCCTCTCCCACTCTCCCACACTCACCTCTCCCACTCTCCCACACTCACCTCTCCCACTCTCCCACACTCACCTCTCCCTCACTCACCTGTTGCTCTCTCCACCTCTCCCTCACTCACCTCTCCCACACTCTCCCTCTCCCTCTCTCTCCCACACTCACCTCTCCCACACTCACCTCTCCCACTCTCTCCTCTCCCACACTCACCTCTCCCACACTCACCTCTCCCACACTCACCTCTCCCACTCTCCCACACTCACCTCTCCCACTCTCCCACACTCACCTCTCCCACTCTCCCACAGCTACTGGAAGGGAACACGAACACGTACCTGGCCCAGACCTCACAGTTGAGTCCACCCATTATAGCGGCCAGGGTGAGGTTTGTGCCCTACAGCGACCACCCCCGTACAGTGTGCATGAGGGTGGAGGTCTACGGCTGCCGCTACACTGGTGAGTCCCACCGCTATATTGTAGCGTAGGTCTACGGCTGCCGCTACACTGGTGAGTCCCACCGCTATATTGTAGCGTAGGTCTACGGCTGCCGCTACACTGGTGAGTCCCACCGCTATATTGTAGCGTAGGTCTACGGCTGCCGCTACACTGGTGGGTCCCACCGCTATATTGTAGCGTAGGTCTACGGCTGCCGCTACACTGGTGAGTCCCACCGCTATATTGTAGCGTAGGTCTATAGCTGCCGCTACACTGGTGAGTCCCACCGCTATATTGTAGCGTAGGTCTACTGCCCTGCCGCTACACTGGTGAGTCCCACCGCTACATTGTAGCGTAGGTCTACTGCTGCCGCTACACTGGTGAGTCCCGCCGCTATACTGTAGCGTACGGCTGTGAAGATCTGTTCCGTTGAGTGAGATTTAGCATTATGTGCGCGAGAGAGTTTTATTAACAGGCTTTGTGAAGAGAACCGGTTCGTAGTATGGGTCTTTCTACTGTAGTTAATATCACACTAGTTTCTATAGCAGCTATCTTACCCTGTCAATGTAGGAGAGACGTTTATGATTCTGGCACGAATCTTCTCGATATTCCTTATGTTTTTCTTCACTGAAGCAGGAAGTTGAAATATTAACTCTCCAAAGCTCATTTTTATTCTTTATTTGGATCTGATGCCTAGAGACCTTCGTAAGGTCTCGCCTTACATTCTCAAAGACAAATTCTACTGTGCTTAGCACCTGGTTTGTAGTGACTGATACATATAACACATATAGTCACATATATAGTGGCATGTAAGTGACAAATTCAGATGGAAATTTAATAAGAGTTTACCGAGTCAAAATTATGATATTCGCTACAGATACCGAGCCAACTTAAGAACCTGCCACTGTACACAGTGGCAAGTTCTTAAGTTCCTATCCTACACTGCCTAAAATGGTAAGTAATTTAGAGATGGATTAATACATCAGAGACCAACACATTACCTTATGGGCCCCTGTCTCTCACCCTGATGGTCTCACCGTCTCCAACCCGGACCCGGGATGACCCGGTCCGGCTCCCGTACCCTGGATGACCCGGTCCGGCTCCCGTACCCTGGATGACCCGGTCTGGCTCCCGTACCCCTGGATGATCCGGTCCGGCTCCCGTACCCTGGATGATCCGGTCCGGCTCCCGTACCCTGGATGACATGGTCTGGCTCCCGTACCCTGGATGACCCGGTCCGGCTCCCGTACCCTGGATGACCCGGTCTGGCTCCCGTACCCTGGATGACCCGGTCTGGCTCCCGTACCCTGGATGACCCGGTCCGGCTCCCGTACCCTGGATGACCCGGTCCGGCTCCCGTACCCTGGATGACCCGGTCCAGCTCCCGTACCCTGGATGACCCGGTCTGGCTCCCGTACCCTGGATGACACGGTCCGGCTCCCGTACCCTGGATGACCCGGTCTGGCTCCTGTACCCTGGATGACCCGGTCCGGCTCCCGTACCCCTGGATGACCCGGTCTGGCTCCCGTACCCTGGATGACCCGGTCTGGCTCCAGATACTTGACCAGTCACTCTGAATTCTGTGGGAGAAGAGAGAAGATCCATGAGAGAAGCTAGCAATACAATCCCGTACCGGCTCGTCTGTAGCGGTTGCAAAATTTTGATATAAATCAGAGGTTCATATCATAATTTTAACTCGAGAAACTCTTGTTAAATTTCCATCTATATGTGTCACTTGGCTTCTTCCCCCCGTGGGTGTGGTCATGGAGAGTGAACCTCCCAGATGCTCGCATATAAGATTGCTTAACATACGGTCGGTAAGTGATTACATCTAGTAGTAAGTTACAAGTGTTTCCTGTCACCTTGGTGCATATACTTTAAGATCTCGTTACGACAGGATGGTGGCAGCGTTAGTTTAATAAGTTTTCTCTGTTAAGCATTTCCTTGAAAACGTACCTTTTTGTTTATCGCGAGAGTACCCCATTACCCTCAACTGGTTGGTTAGGTTAGACTAACAAGTCTAGTTAGATTAGACTAACAAATTGGTTCCCACCAAACACACACCGAAACTACGACGTTGGTACAACGTTCGAACAAGTTTTAACACCTCCTAACCAGTTATAACAACCAATATAGCAAGTTGTAACAACGTTCTAATACGTCATAAACACGTTAAGCCAAGACGTAACAACTTTATTACAAGTTGTAACAAGCGGAAAATAGAGACAGTTACGGTTTGTGTTTCCAGGGTTAGACGTTTTAAGGAAATATACTTCAGAGCTCCAGGAATATACTTCAGAGCTCCAGGAATATACTTCAGAGCTCCAGGGTGTGTTAACCACCAGTGTTATTCAATATTTCAGTTCATATATTGAATATTACATTGAATTTCAAATGGGAGCCGTACTGGCAGTGGTTTCACTTGATAATTATCTATATTTTCCCCTTCTCTCCTGCAGATGGACTGGTGTCGTACACGATGCCTGAGGGTGACCCCCGAGGGGGGGACTACAACCTCCGTGACCTGACCTACGACGGGTCACGTAAGGGCGGCTGGCTCTCTGGCGGCCTGGGTCAACTTACCGACGGGGAGACGGGTCACACCAACTTCCGGGTCGATGCCCTCGGCCGTGGCAGAGGTAAGTCTTACTCTTATTAACACCCTCGGCCGAGGTAGGGGGTGAGAGAAGCTAGCAATATAATCCCGTACCTGCTCGTCTGCAGCGGTTGCAAAATTTTGATATAAATCAGAGGTTCATTCACTGCTTGAAATTGCACTACTCATTTGACTGTTGAGCGGAGTCTTCATCTATCTTCGTGTCATTCGTGGGCAGCTGAGACACGGAAGTTACAACACAAGACGCTCAGCCATTGGAGAATAACTCTGCCTACCACCACATCATGGACATTTGTATGAACAGAGATCCATGGCTATTTAAGATCCTTCCAGCAAGCATAAGAAATATTGCTTGTACTATAGTGGTGGTGTTCAATAGAAAATGAGACACGTCCCTATAGGCAGTGCCGGTCCAAGCGGGTGTCTGTGGCTATGTAGGCTTACTGGCCGCTTCAATGATAATTATCAGGAGACTGTCCTAAGCCAGTATGACTGTAGCACAAGCCTGTTGGATCAAATTATCACACGTCAAGCCTGCCCCAGCTCGCGCTTGAAGAGTACAGAGGAGCTCAAGAGACTCGACTCTTAAGTATACAGCAGTATACCTGTGGTATACAGCGATCATTCATTCGAAAGATCATGTCACATGACTACGTGGATGCTCCGACCCCCTACACTCATCTCTCCTAGAGATGGCTTAGATGGCTTAGCACCAACCCCCCTCCCCCGATTTAATTCTTCTCGTTTTCTGTTAGGACACTTAAAATTTTAAGATGAAATTTTAAAGTTCAGTTGCTATACACAGGTTTTAAATATTAGGAGTTTCTTTTTCACTTTTCTCTACCCTCCAGATAACCCTATAACTTCCCTGTGTTGACAATGAGTGTATAAGGGCATTAGTTCTTCGACCATATTTCAAAGTGAGGGATAACACCTCTTGTAATATTCAGCAAAGATCATCAATAATACTATTATTGAACCCCCGTTGTTCGTGCACGCAAGGAGAGGGAAGGGAATTATCAGGGGGGAAAGCACTAAGCCATTACGACTATATAGCTCTTGGAAGGGGGTCAGGATAAGGATTTGGGATGGGGGGAGGGGGTAGGAATGGTGCCCAACCACTTGGACGATCGGGGATTGAACGCCGACCTGCATGAAGCGAGACTATCCCTCTATCGTCCACCCCAGGTGACTGGACGGAGAGAGAGACGAGGGGGGGGGGAGGGAATAAGGTGAAGAATCCAATTTTCACAATAAATACAAATTTTGTAAAATATATTATGGATCCCGAGGAAGAAATTGCATGGGAAATGAACAGTATCGACAACATTTGACCGAACTGAATCACATCCTGGTTAGGTTAGGTTAGGAAGGGTTGGTTATGTTAGGTATTGACATTGTTATATGTCAATACGTCCATATGTAAGTAAAACGCTACAATTCGTATCTATCTATCAATCGCTTCCCCAAAAAATGATCAAAGTATTCCCCTCAGAAGAGAGCCCCTCAGAAGAGAGGTCTTGACGGACGGGGAGGTCTACCCACTATAGACTGATATTCACCATTTCTTAAAAATTTCTGATGTCGCTCTCAGGGGCGTGTGTGTGTGTGTAGGGGTAAGATGGTCGACGGCCCGGTTTTGCCCCTTGAGGGACGGCAGGCGGAGAGGTGTTTGGAATACTTGTGAAAATACCGAAGCCAAAATCCTATCCTGCAGCATCCTGGAGGGATGAAGTCTTCCAAGACGAGGCACTCTACACAAACCCAACTTTCTCCATTTTAGAATGGTATATTTTGCCCCAAGAGACGAGTGGTCTATTTGGCAGTGTTGGTGTTTCTTCATTGGTTATACCATGAGGGTGCATCCTGTATGTGTGTACACTCATTGGTTATACGTTGTATCGCATCCCGCGTGGTAGTAAATAGGTTCAGTGAATAGGTACCTGGGGGGGGGGGTTGCTGCTTTTGTGGGCTGTACTCACCTAGTTGTTATTGCGAGGGTTGAGCTCTGGCTCTTTGGTCCCGCCTCTCAACTGTTTATCAACTGTTGTACAGGTTCCTGAGCCTATTAGGCTCAATCATATCTACACTCTAAACTGTGTATGGAGTCAGCCTCCACCACATCACTTCCTAGAGCATTCCATTTATTAACCACTCTGACACTGAAAAAATTCTTTCTAACGTCTCTGTGGCTCATCTGGGTACTAAGTTTCCACCTGTGTCCCCTTGTTCGTGTTCCACCCGTGCTGAAGAGTTTGTCTTTGTCCACCCTGTCAATTCCATTGAGAATTTTGGGAAATTCGCGCGTGCGTGCGTGTACGTGTGTGTGTGAGAGAAATAGGTAGCAGATATAATACAGGAAAAATGTCAGGAGTCAGCACATTTGACAATCGATGATTAGAAAGGCGGGGTCCAAGAGCTAACAGCTCGATCCTGCAGGCACAAATAGTAAATACACCCACACAAGAAATGAACTACGCAGTGATGGGGTGACGGCCGACTCCATACATAATGTCAAATATAATTTTGGCACGAGCCCAATAGGCTCATCAACCAGTATGCAAGTTGATCGACAGCCGAGAGGCGGAACCGAAGAACCGAAGCTCAACCCCCGCAAGCAAGCAAGCAAGCAAGCAAGCACACACACACACACACACACACACACACACACACACACACACACACACACACACACACACACACACACACACACACACACACACGAAATATTAACCCTACAAACAGAAGGGGTCCCAGGGAACCACCCACCTCTCCCCTGCACACAGCGCAGGGAGACTGGCAGGTAGGAGCCACGCCCCACCTGGGCAGGTAAGAGCCACGCCCCCACCTGGGCAGGTAGGAGCCACGCCCCCACCTGGGCAGGTAGGAGCCACGCCCCACCTGGGCAGGTAGGAGCCACACCCCCACCTGGGCAGGTAAGAGCCACGCCCCCACCTTGGCAGGTAGGAGCCACACCCCCACCTGGGCAGGTAGGAGCCACACCCCCACCTGGGCAGGTAGGAGCCACACCCCCACCTGGGCAGGTAGGAGCCACACCCCCACCTGGGCAGGTAGGAGCCACACCCCCACCTGGGCAGGTAGGAGCCACACCCCCACCTGGGCAGGTAGGAGCCACACCCCCACCTGGGCAGGTAGGAGCCACACCCCCACCTGGGCAGGTAGGAGCCACACCCCCACCTGGGCAGGTAGGAGCCACGCTCCACCTGGGCAGGTAGGAGCCACACCCCCACCTGGGCAGGTAGGAGCCACACCCCCACCTGGGCAGGTAGGAGCCACGCTCCACCTGGGCAGGTAGGAGCCACACCCCCACCTGGGCAGGTAGGAGCCACGCCCCCACCTGGGCAGGTAGGAGCCACGCCCCCACCTGGGCAGGTAGTGTCGTGACGCTGAACCCCGGTTCATTCCGAACACAGCGATTACACAACACATAACACCTTGCCTCAGCAACCGTTACTACCACCGTGTACTCCTACACACACCAGACCCTTGAGGCGTACCACTAGGTTTGTACTGGAACACAATGAATGAACATATGGAAGGTATTTAAAGGCCGTCGGGTTTTGTCATTTAATTACAAAGAATAGACCGACAAATAATAACATATTAACATACTCTATTAGGTCAATACACTTCCAATACCCATAGACCACTTGACCTCCGCGATCACCACACACACTCGTAACTTCCGCCTAAGTCCCTAATACGGAATGATTACTACAACGCTCCACACCCGGTTAGTCTTACATTCAATACTCACATACTGCAGACTTAACTTGGTCACTAAGATCACATCAGGTTCTCGCATAGCTGTCTGCTACACTTCGCTGCTGCCACAAACGGAGATCCAGAGGACTTCTCAGTTCAACTCCCACAATCAGACTGCCTCCAGTCAGCCATGGCCTCAAACATTTCACCACGCCTCTTGAGGAAGGTATAATCCGATTAACCTTATCCCTAGAGCGGTAACCTTGATCCTAGAAGCCTGACGAAGAATAATTCCTCTTTCCAGGAATTATTAATTTGGCTAAACAGCTTCGGTCTTAATCCATTGACCTTTCTTAGATATGTGATCCATAGTCTGTCTACTTAACATGTACTTCCAATCATCATTCGTTAAGTGTTGTAGTAATGATCCTCTAGCTAATAATTCCTACTAACTTGTGGATTACAACAGTAGGAGCCACCCCCCCACCTGGGCAGGTAGGAGCCACGCCCCACCTGGGCAGGTAGGAGCCACGCCCACCTGGGCAGGCCGACAGGTAACATCTCTCAAGACGTTTACCTCATGAGTAACGTCCACGAGGAGTGAAACCTTGCACCTGGCCTCGCCCATAGAAGAGTTCTCCAAGATGTGTTTATGAGTTAGGCGTTCCCTTAAGCGCTCAAGTTGTACCATGTTTACTAATGACTTGGAAATTGCTGGATGCTGGCTCTCCAAAACCTGTGTTCGCATTCGACTAATATATATATATATATATATATATATATATATATATATATATATATATATATAATATATTTAGATTCAGAATCTGGAGACCAGATTCTTTGGGTTAGCCCCATCAAAATTTGCATGGGGAATGGTCTAGGGTGTGGGACGGACATAGGCTGGTCATTGTAGGCCTAAGTTAAAGGCCTTAAGAAGTATTGCCACTTGTAGATTCCCCCCCCCCCCCGCCGCTTTTCATGGCACCAAGGGAAGGGAAGGGAACTATTAGGGGAAAACTACCAAGCCATTACGACTATATAGCACTTGGAAAGGGTCAGGATCTGACCCCTTTTGAACAAACACATTCTCACTTCAAAATCACTTGGATCATCAGGGATTCGATCTTGAGCCTTGAAAATAGGACTGTCATCCTATCAACACACTCACTGGCGGGACCAAAGAGCCAGAGCTCAACCCCCCGAAAGCACAACTAGGTGCGTACTAAGACTTCTTCTCTACCGTAAACAAGATTTAAAGTATTGTTTATTTTGAAGTTAAAATTGTTGATTAATCAAGCAAGACGAACAGAGGTAAACAAAACATTAACCTGTCCCGTGAGTATTCAATATATTGTAGTAAATATATATATTTCAATAAATATATGTAAAGTCGTTGTTTATTTATTAAAATTTCTTAATTTTATTGATCCTGGCTACATGAAGAATTAGTTCTTAATCGGAGAACTAATTCTTGATATAGCGGAGAGAACATATTCCTCGGTCAATACATCTATGTCTCTCTCTCTCTCTCTCTCCTCTCTCATCTCTCATCTCTCATCCCTACCCCCCCCCCTCCCTCCCACAACAATGCATATATTAGCGCCTCTCTTCTCCCGTCTTGCATCACGCAACGAAACAATAAGAAACCAAGTGAACGAAAAGCAACGATGAAGTGTGAAATGTGAGCCGTGAAAACTATCCTTAAATCCCGCAGTTTAGAGCCAATGACTCAGGCGGAGAACGAGGCGGGTGGAGTCTCCCCTTAAACTCTATTTTCCTTTTGAAATATACATGATGTAAATAACGAAATATATCAGAAAATATAACGAAGGAACAGATTCATAAATATGTTTTAAAGAAGTATTTATTATTAAATATATTATGTTAATATTAAAACAAAAAAAAATAAAAGTCCTAGATGAACCAAATGGAACTGGAAATTGGAATACAAAAATAAACATTCTAGGAATGTATGTAAATTTACGAAATGTGTTTGTTGTCGAGGGAGTCGGTGAAGACAGTGAGGGTTATATTTATATTTGAAGAATATTAATAGGTGAGAATGTCTATTATATTATACGCTTCCTAATAGAGAGCGTGTTGCCCGCTTAAATATAAGAGGCCCTCTCGTTATTTGTTGATTCTGGCGAAGGTTGTGCACGAATTATTGGGAGTTTGTCCACTTTGGTACAGAGGTCACGGTTCTTGCAGGACCGCGTTCGATCCCCGATGGTGTGTGTGTGTGTGTGTCTGGGAACTATTTGTCCACTTCTCATTCACCTATCACTGCTCCTTGTCCTGATATCCTAGTCGCTTGTCTTGATATCCTAGCTGTTCGTCCTCATAACCCAGGTCAGTGTTCTCCTTTCCATGTGGTGTATAGGCATGTTGGCTTAGGACTTTTCCCTCATGATTACTGTCTCTCTCTCTCTCTCTCTCTCTCTCTCTCTCTCTCTCTCTCTCTCTCTCTCTCTCTCTCTCTCTCTTCCCTACCTCCATTCTCATCACACTTGTGTGTGCTATCCGGCCAGCCTCCGCCCTCAGCGCTGGCAATACGTGGAGTCATTAATGTCTTCTAGCCGGCTCCTAAGTCCAGCTCGTATCAGGCTATCTGGTCCGCTCACTAATATCCCCCACCTCGTAAAGTCTTTCAAGCGTTCAAGTCTCTCTCCTCTCACTCCCTCCAACACTATATATAACCGCCTATAACCGCCCTGGAAGTTCTACCTAATATCCTCCCCTACCTATATCTGCTTGCCAACTTACCTGTTCGCTAATTGTACTACCTGCTCGTCTACTTACCTACCTATCTACCTACTTGCCTAATTAACGTACCCACCTGCCTGCCTTTCTACCTCCCTACCTATAAATCAACTATCCTGATTTTTTTCCCCTCACTATCAGGATGAGTGGTAGAGTAGCTGCTGTCTGGATGGATAGGATGGATAGATGGATGGATGGATGGGTAGCAGGATGGATGGATGGGTGGGTAGTATGCCGACTGCCTTAATTGATGTTAGGAGTTGTCTGGATAGATGAAATGATGGTTGACGTCCCGTGTGGATGGAATGGTTTGTTGATTGGAGGGATTGGAGAGCGAACAGATTGTTGGGGTGGGGGTGGGGATTGAGGGAGAGGGTTGAGGGAGGGCGGTGGGAGACCAAAGGATCTCAAGGGAGGGGTCATCTTACCCAAATTTATGCATCACAGTGAGCGTAACTCATCCTTAACACCACTTCACGCCTCGTGCTGCCTGCTTAGAGGGGTAGGGGTGGTGGGGGGGGGGGGTAGGGGTGGGAGGGGGGTGGTGAAGGTGGGAGGGGGTGGTGGAGGTGTAGAGTAAGGAGGGGGTTGACCGGGTGTAGACACAAATGACCCAACACGAGAGAGAGAGAGAGAGAGAGAGAGAGAGAGAGAGAGAGAGAGAGAGAGAGAGAGAGAGAGAGAGAGAGAGAGAGAGAGAGAGAGAGAGAGAGAGAGAACATCAGTAAAACACAGACAACACTCAAACAAACCATCTAATTTTTTTTTACGTTTGTACGTCTTATTAACCCGTACAAAACGCCATCAAAAAATAGCAGCTCACTCAAATCCACGTTTTCCATGCATTGTTACGCGAGGTTAGGTAGGTGGGTTGGGTTCATGTCTTTCAGGTTAGGTTAGTGCTCTCTATTTTGTACCTTGGAAATGGGTTGTAAACACACAAATGTAAAAATTGGCAAACTAATTTTTAAATTTGCATTGAAAATTGGTAGACATACTTCAATGGTGAGATGTTATTAATGATTCAAGGGAACAATGGTACCAAACAACAGCTAAGCGAAATCGAAATTGTTAAATTAGATTGTGTACAGGAATCTGGGAATCATTATTATATAAATTTATATTTGCCCACGAAGGGCGAGATTACTGGGCAGCGTCACTCATCCTGTGAGTGGACACACCGCCATAGTGACAGTATTGGGCAGCGCCACTCATCCTGTGAGTGAACACACCGCCATAGTGACAGTATTGGGCAGCGCCACTCATCCTGTGAGTGGACACACCGCCATAGTGACAGTATTGGGCAGCGTCACTCATCCTGTGAGTGGACACACCGCCATAGTGACAGTATTGGGCAGCACCACTCATCCTGTGAGTGGACACACCGCCATAGTGACAGTATTGGGCAGCGCCACTCATCCTGTGAGTGGACACACGGCCATAGTGACAGTATTGGGCAGCGCCACTCATCCTGTGAGTGGACACACCGCCATAGTGACAGTATTGGGCAGCGTCACTCATCCTGTGAGTGGACACACCGCCATAGTGACAGTATTGGGCAGCGTCACTCATCCTGTGAGTGGACACACCGCCATAGTGACAGTATTGCGCAGCGCCACTCATCCTGTGAGTGGACACACCGCCATAGTGACAGTATTGGGCAGCGTCACTCATCCTGTGAGTGGACACACCGCCATAGTGACAGTATTGGGCAGCGCCACTCATCCTGTGAGTGAACACACCGCCATAGTGACAGTATTGGGCAGCGCCACTCATCCTGTGAGTGAACACACCGCCATAGTGACAGTATTGGGCAGCGCCACTCATCCTGTGAGTGAACACACCGCCATAGTGACAGTATTGGGCAGCGCCACTCATCCTGTGAGTGGACACACCGCCATAGTGACAGTATTGGGCAGCGCCACTCATCCTGTGAGTGGACACACCGCCATAGTGACAGTATTGGGCAGCGCCACTCATCCTGTGAGTGGACACACCGCCATAGCAGCATGTACAACACTCCCCAATAGGAAGAAAACCTGCTGGGTTGTTCATCCTGTCACTTCAGTCCATCCTCCGAATAGACAGTACGTTTTAATACTAAATGTAATAAGTACAATCCTGACTTTCGGCATAGTACATAAATACACTTAATCGCCAGCATCGCACCAAAATATTGTGAATATTAGAGTTTACCTGAAAAGCTGTATAGAAAACCACGACCTAACCTATCCTTGGGAGTGTAGGAGGACACGCATGTAAATAGCATTTATTGCTTCTTAATTAGAATGAGTAATTAACCTATAGCTATATTGATATTACAATTTTATAAAGCTAATAAAACAAAAGTAAAGTCTTTCAATAAATAATAAAGTAAGTCAGAATATTTTCAAATTTTGTATAAAATCTCTATTGTTTAATAAAACTGAAAAATAAATTCTTTATATTTAAAACTTGTGTATATAGAATTGGACATGAAAGCTTCAACCTACAAATTTCGAGTGTATTAACAGAAAATGTAACAGCACAATTAAGTGTTTTGATGTACTATGGAGACAGTCAGGAATGTACATATTGCATTTAGTATTAAAACATACTGTCTATTCGGAGGAAGGGTTGTCACTTGTACCCAGACACAGCTGGGACTTCCTTAACTGTCTTAAGTGAACAGCTTATCAAACAAGAAGATTTAGCCAACCCGTAAACTTACGTGAACTAGCGGGTGCAAAATGGGGTAATCTGTTAAGAACAGTATCTATATTTGACATGGTGTTTTCCTAACTTAAATAATGTGAGGTTTATTACTCGGCTCATAGTTCTAAATGTCTCTTAAGATGAGCAACAATCTCTATGATATCCGTCACTCTCACCATAGATTTTCCACCTACGTTGCTCGGATATTGTTTTTATTTCGAATCTCCATGGATATCTGTATCGCACACGAATTCTTGCTATTGCTGATTTCCTCCCCTTCGTCCATTAATGATTGGGATTGCCAGCTGCAACCACGTTGTACCAGCGTTCAGATTCACTATTAGTGACCGAAAGCTTAGAACACAATGCTTATTTCTTCATAATATTTAATTGTATATATTAGATATTTTAACGCTACAGATGAAACCATCTAGAGTCAGGAGATCACAATGTAATATTTCTCAGCGCTCTCTCTCTCTCTCCCCACCCGTGGCGCAGGGTACGAGTGGGTGGGATGGAAGAACGAGTCCAGCCACACCCAGTTGGTCGAAATCACCTTCGAGTTCGACTCCGTCAGGAACTTCTCAGCTGTTCATATCTACGCCAACAACTTCTTCACCAAGGACACCCAGGTAGATATATAAGTAGATCATTGTTAATATCTTTATATATATAATATGCGAACAAGCGTGAATGGTCCCCAAGCCAATATTAGAATGTTGTTGTGTTAGATTTAGCTACTCAGAACGAAATGTCCATGTAGCACGGGCTATGATGAGCCCGTAACAATATTAGAAGAACAACTCTCCTTATATACCGTTGGTCCGACAGGTGGTTGTAGGCGGAGTTAATTGCTTCACTGTGATTGGCTTATATTGCGAAATTTGACGCAGGTACACAAACAAAGAGTTAGAACTTGATATGGTGGAGGGAGGAGCCGCCGAGAGGTTAAGAGCTCAGGGATGAAGTCTTCCCAAACTGGATTTAGAACAATGAATCAATCCGGTAAAAAGAAAGAGAGTCAGTCTCCGATAACTTGGGTGTGTGTGTGTGTGTGTGTGTATTAGTCAACTGTTGCTACAGCTAATTCTTCCAATTATTAATGGAAGGGAAGGCACTGGCAGAAGAAAGATTAGTAGGTGTTTGCCAGTAATTGATGAGTTCGAGAAAGAAAAGTGTTTTATTGAATTAAAACAGAAAGATTGTCAAGCAGATAAGTCAGGCATGGGTAGGTTACACTAAATTGAAAGTGACAAATTGGTGAATACAGCAGCCTCTCTGTGTATATTTAATATTTATTATTTGCTATTTTGATCAGCAGACTCTAGCTATTAGCTCTTGGACCCCCGCCTATATAACCAATTTATTTTTCCTCTGTCTAAAATGTATTTTTTCCTGTGTGTGTACTCGCCTAATTGTACTCACCTATGTGTGTGTGTACTCACCTAGTTGTGCTTGCGGGGGTTGAGCTCTGGCTCTTTGGTCCCGCCTCTCAACCGTCAATCAACGTGTGTGTGTGTGTGTCGAAGGCTCGTATTAGAAATGAAACAAAAAATACAGTAAACAGTTTCAACAGTAGAAATGACAAAATCAAGCGTTGAAAGTCAATTAATCAAGCGTCAAGTGGCACAGCGGGGTTCAGGAGCTAACGCTCGAGCCTGCACGCACGCACGCACGCACGCACACACACACACACACACACACACACACACACACACACACACACACACACACACACACACACACACACACACACACAACACACAACACACACACCCACACCACACACACACACACACACACACACCACACACACCACACACACACACCACACACACACACCACACACACACACACACACACACACACACACACACACACACACACACACACACACACACACACAGGCTGGGACAAGTAGACACCAGTGGGCATCACACGAGTCACTCTTTAGCCCGTGTCATAGAAAACACGTTCATCTGATTGATGTCCAAGGAGTGTGTTCTGCTTGGCTGCCTTCACTACTTACAATCAACAGCGGGCTGGCTGCCTTCATCGAGTATTTGGCTGCTTTCATCGAATGTTTAACTGCCTTCACTAGGTGCTTGACTGCTTTCACTAAGTGCTTAACTCCCTTGAGCGAATGACAACCCTCCAAGTTGACGAGAGGCGGCTTGCCTAACTAGCTAGGCACAGAGGAAATCAGGCTTTTTGAATGTCCTTTCATAGTTAAAAATGATTTGTGTGAAGGATTAATACCAATCAGCTCCTTGTATGTCAGATTCTGGGAAGTGTGTGTGTGTGTTTGTACATATGGCATGTAACTGTAATATGTATCAAGTACTAGTTATCTGCACTCACTGTGTGTGTGTGTGTGTGTGTGTGTGTGTGTGTAATATATATATATATATATATATATATATATATATATATATATATATATATATATATATATATATATATATATATATAATATGCAATGTCTCTCTGTCTGGCCAGTGTTCTTCACCCAGTTGTCTGTGTCTGGCCTATGTTCTTCACCCAGTTCTCTGTGTCTTGCCTGTGTTCTTCACCCAGTTCTCTGTGTCTTGCCTGTGTTCTTCACCCAGTTCTCTGTGTGGGGCAGGTGTTCTTCACCCAGTTCTGTGTCTGGCAGGTGTTCTTCACCCAGTTCTGTGTCTGGCAGGTGTTCTTCACCCAGTTCTGTGTGTGGCAGGTGTTCTTCACCCAGTTCTGTGTGTGTGGCAGGTGTTCTTCACCCAGTTCTCTGTGTGTGGCAGGTGTTCTCGAGGGCGAGGGTGCTGTTCAGCGTGGGCGGGGAACACTACCACGAGCAGTCAGCTGTTGAGTTCGAGTACGTGGTGGACCGGATCTTCGAGCACGCCCGCAACGTCACCATCAGACTCCACAATGCCGCCGCCAAGTTCGTCAAGCTGCAGCTCTTCTTCTCCCTCAGGTGGATCCTCATCTCCGAGGTCGCCTTCGACTCAGGTCAGTCTTTAAGGGTTACTGATGCTATTGTTGCGGTTCAAACCACTTGGACTGGTTGGTACAGCGACGGCCTCGTTTCTTGCAGGTCGGGGTATGGATCCCCGACCGTCTTAGGGGGTTGGGAGTCATTCCTTCCCTCAATCCTATATCAGATCTTTGTCCTCATGTCCCTTCCTAATGCTGCATACGCGTTGTGGCTTCGTTTTTTTATCCTGATACTTGGTACTCGTTCATGTGCCTGTTTGCCTTCGGAGTTATTCATTCCATCATTCCTTTTGATTCATTCCATCACTCTAAAAGCTGTTCACCAACTGAATTTGTTACAGCTACATGACAGTAAATAGATTTTTTTACATCGGGTAGACTAAACAACGGATGGTAAACACACGCTTTTAACATTAGCGGGAATTATATTTCTAAGTTGGCTTTGTATTTTGGGCTATGTTTCTGCATGCTAAATTTCCTGTAAGAAGCAGTGAATTTTATGATTTCTTTGCAGTGCCCTGTCGCTGTAACCTAACGGAAGAAGGAGAGGAGAAACTAGATACGGTGGAAACACTGAAAGAGGAAGAACAGATATTCGAGTCCCGAACACATCTTGCTCCTGCCACCCCAGATGCCTCACATTCAGGGCTGCTGATAGGTGGATTGGTGACTCTGGCTGTAGTGTTCGGAGTGGTGCCTCTGGTGCTGTGTCTCCTCTACTACCGAACAAAGCTTCCGCTCGTTGGTGAGAAGCCTGAGACACCAGGCAACGTCGCAGAGAATCGCAAGGTCTCCATGAAGATGAAAGATCTACATATCAACCTGAACTTAGCCTCGGTATCCAACGGTTACTCCAGAGCAAACGGGAAGCTGTACGGACATGTGGCTATGGACGATGAGGCCGGCTCCTCCTTGTACCAAGAGCCTTACAAGATGCAACTCGCATGCAGTCAGTACAGTCTCAGTAAATCTGGTGGACTTTCCGACACGATTATCAAAAATCCTTTTCCACCGGAAACTGACGATTCTGTGGACTATGCTGTTCCAGACCTTAATATGACCCCTCCCCCACCCTTTTCCGAGGCGTACTCACCGCCTCTCCCGGTGCCATTCAGTCAAACTGTAAATCCTATAATACCCTCAATCAAAGATCCATCATCCAGTCCACCCCTTCCGCCCATCCCACCGCCTCCTGAGGAACATTACCTCACAGCCTCACAACTGTGCAAGGCTTCCAGTATTCAGGGCGTAACAGGCACCGTTATTTACACTGAAACGGAGGTATCGGATGACAACTACGAGAGACCAGTGCCAGAGTTAGCGCGGCATCGCCTTCACCCAAAGGAAGTTCTTGGAGGAGGGGCCTTTGGTGTTGTTCAGCTCTGTAGAGTCGATGACGTTGGACGCAATGGATCACGAATAGTGCTGATGAAGCAACTGCATTCCGGAACAAAAGAGGTTTTAAAAAAGGAATTTCACCAGGAAGCACGAACACTGAGCCACATTGACGACCCCAATGTGGCACGTCTGGTGGGCATGGTCACCAGGACGGAACCCTTGTGCATGCTAATGGAGTTCTTAATCCATGGGGACCTCTACCACTTCCTCAGAAGGCATGCGTCAGAGGACACCATTCTCGGTGGCTCGGGCTCGAATCGGCCTCTCATAAGTTATGGAAGTCTTATTTACATAGCCACTCAAGTAGCTTCTGGAATGAGGCACTTGGAAGCGATCAAGTTAGTTCATCGGGACTTGGCGACTCGCAATTGCTTAGTGGGGAGTGGTCTTAGTATAAAGATCTCAGATTTTGCCATGAGTCGTCCTATGTTTTCCAGTGACTATTACCATCTGAGTGAAGACCATGCGATGCTGCCCATCAGATGGATGGCGTGGGAGTCTATCCTCCAGGGCCGGTTCTCGACCAAGAGTGACGTGTGGGCGTTCGGAGTGACGCTGTGGGAGATCCTGACGATGGCCCGTCAGCAGCCCTACGACGAGCTGAGTGACGACGGCGTGCTGGAGAACATCTCTCACTGCTACCACGGCGACGGCTCTGGCATGATGGTGTTACCGCAGCCTCCGCTCTGCCCCCGCGAGATGTATGACATGATGACCGCATGCTGGAGACCCAACGACCGCCAGCGTCCCCCCTTCTGGGAGATCCACTTGTTCCTCAGGCGTAAAAACCTGGGTTACGCCCTCGACTACATTGAATAATGTGTTCTGGGATATTTTAATGTTTCTCCAGTGAACATTAAAAAAATCCGGTTTACTGCCCTGGTTGTTTAGAGCAAGGATGTCTGTACCTTATTCTTCGGCACTGTCAAATGGTAGATTACACCTCCGATTGCCTGGAAATTGCACCCTGAACTATAAAATCCATGGCACATGGTGTAGTCGTGATTAACCAGACACTAGCTGTGGTGAATTATAACATGCTCCCAAAAATTATCATGACAAGGAAAATTATAATAATTTACATTGCTTTATACTGCGTGATACGTTTATGGCAAATGTAGTCAGCATTATGAGCATATACAAATATGACGGTTGGTGTTACCAGTTCCCGACAGGCATGTGAGTGGAGTAACACGGTGCCACAAGCGGCAGTTATGAGAGGCTGACTTTGACCCAGTGTAACATGGTGAGGAATTTGAGTAATTTCAGATACAAACTGCAAATTCAAAGCTCATAATAGTGACAAAATTCAAAACAATGACTGTCGAAGTTGCAATAGAGGTACACATCTGCTACAGAGATCATCACAGCTGCCATAGAGTTTACGCGTCCCAACGGGCCTCTTCAGCAGACACAGTGGTTGACGAAGCAGCTGGGTGCCTCAAATTTCACTGGCAGTTACATTGCTAGAGTGCCAAGTGCCAACCCGTGAAGCAAAGACAGGTGCCAGCCAAAAAAAAACATTTTAAATCCGGTGGAAATATTAATTTATGAAATATTTCATGTATATTTGCGTTCCTCTGCTATTTGCCAAATGTTTCAGTTGACTAGGAAATTTGCCAAATAAAATACATGTAGCAGTGTCCTAGTTACAAAGTTATGTGATCTAACGTGGCTGTAATAGACATAAGGGTGAAAATAAAGGAAAATGGCATTAGATATGGTTACGTGAAGTGGCAGTATGAGTATAAGCATTGAAACAAACTGATCTCTGGTAATAATATTAACCTTTTTCCATTATATTCTGACGAATATTTAGGATCTTTTGAATGTCTTAAAGACAGTACTGAACAGTCTTCCAGGCATGGTGCTCTGGTTTGAAAATTAACTTTATTCATGTGCTTATATCTCCTGTGTTTGTCTCTCGTCTTCTCTGTCTCTGCTACATCACTGCTTATCAAAGTGGTACACGATTAGAATTGTACTTATTAGCAAACTGAATTGTAATACATTTTGAAATGGAAAGGTGAGCATTATATCATTTTATCTATAACTATAAATGAAAATGTCTGCGTCTGTCCAAGGCTTGAGGCTAGCGTCACTCAATATTTAAAATTAATTGCTATTGGGTACGTGCTGTGAACATGCATGGATCGGGTTTAGTATAAATGAAACGCGTGCCACTTGACATAGTGTTAAAGTGACGCCCCACAATGTGTCTTGCAATATCATGTAATAATCATATTAGATAGACTGTTTTTTTCTTTTAATTTTTCTTACTATAATGTAAAGCATTGCACACAGATGTCGGCAAAATTAACAAAAAATTCTATCATACTTTGCCTGCGATATCCCGTAATATGTTTTCATGATATCGTACTTTCCCCATACCCTTAACCCACCCATTCACTGCCTCCTAAGGGTCAACTCTCCATATACACCTCCCATGTTGCAAATGTGTTCACGCTCCCTACAGACTGGTGCAGAGGAGGAGACGCATACAAAGAGAGACATACAGAGAGATAATGAAAGACATAAATACACAGAGATAAAAGCACACACACACACACAAAAAACACAAACTTAAGACACACACACACACACACCAGGTCAACCCGGGCACTGCCGAGTGCTCCATCTAGTATAATATATAACCCATCTAGTATAATATATATTATGTTAAAATTAATAGTTGTTTAAATTCTATTTTGAGACTTCACCTGCAAGCCGTAATTCTCTGTAATTATGGCACGCTATACTAAGACTTGATGCATAACCCCCCCCCCACTCACTCAACTATCTCCCTCCACCCATCTCTCCCCCCTACATCTGCGAGTGCTTATCAGTCAAGAAGCTGGCACCGCACCTCGTGCCTAAGCCAAGGACTTTCAGAGGCACTTGAGCTCTTTACTGAGAACACAGCTGCTCGACTTAGTAATATGGCACCCCATACCCCCCTCTTTTAGCGTTTTCTAATTTAATATATTTTTTTATCAACATTCGGTAAAGACAGTCTTAAAGAAAATGAGAATTGTAACTCCGAGATCCTTTCTTAATTCCGTCTTGCATTTTGGTAGTGTCACGCGGAAGTGTTAATATATATTAAATGCTTTGCAGATGCAATATTTACAATATAATACAGTACGTAAGAATTCATCTAGTCATTTTTTTTCCTTTACATACTCAAAATTGATCAATACGCGCGAATGGGGAATATATATCTATCATTTATTACTGGTAAACAATTTTTGTATTTAAATAATCGTGTTGTGTGTAGATTTGAATTCGTATAAACAGTTAAGTTTCATGGGATCGAATTCCTCACAAAAACATAACATGGGTTCAAATCCTTCTAAAAATAAGAGACATTGGCCAGGATAGTTTCCTGAATGGATAACGTATGTTTGAAATGCTAATCACGCACTTGAATGGATTCGTATCTACCCTAACCCCCCCTCCCCCCCCCCCCAACAAACAAAAGGCAGTAACAAGGATTCAGATTCCAGGTAACCAAATAACACATATGCAAAGAATTTGATCTCGCTAAAAATTAATCATTATAATCCGCAATGAAATCACCACAACTTGATGTATCTATGACTGGGGCAGTGGGGGTCTAATCAGCTTCGCTGGGCGATCAAGGACGCGCGGGTTCGAGCCCCTCCCATCGTCCTGCTCCAAAGAATTTCGCATAAATGTTCGAATTTTTTTTAGTGCAGAGTATTTTAAAAAAATATATGTAAGTATTGCGCCCCAAAATTCAGGTATTAAAATGAACATTCTAACATCGACTACTATGTACCGTGCATCAGGAACGGTACATGTACCGTTAACGATCCATATACTATTACACACAGATATGTGTAATCGATTAAGGCAGTGTCTGGGATGCTCCGGGACGCAGGTTCGAATCCTCATCACGGCCCTTGTGGATTTGATCCATATACTGCACCATGTAGCGTATACCACTTACAATAGAGCATATAGTGTACCGTATAGCATACAAAATATACACTATACCGTATACACCTCTTCTAGCCTATGCCATATAACAAAAATAGGTATTGTATAAACGCTAAACTGCATAAAGTAGTTATAGATTTTTTTTGTAAATAACTGCATACAATTGTTTTTTTTTTTGTAAATAAGAGGCATTTTTTGTATATTTTTACGTGTGAATTTTTTTGTACTGATGAGTGGTGAAAATAAACATTAATGAACATTTTCATTGTTTCCTGTGCTTTTGTTAACGTTGTTTTGCTGTTTGAGTTGTGTTCTCCAGAAACGTCGTATATTGTACGTTGGTGCTAGTGAGGTGCTTCTTAAGACACGTGTTTTAAAATGGTGTTTTCGCTTTAATATTTTTTTAGGCTATTCTCGTTTCCAGATCGCCACTCCTGTCATGCCTGAGCTGTACCTGAAGAGGGTTCCGAGAGTTGTTCTTCTCCACACCTGTCATCACCACAACGTGACAACTACACACCTGCCATATGTGTATAGCCGTGTCAAAACCCTAAAGTCCAAATAATGTATACACAGAGGTGTACCGAGCTTCTCAAGGTAGAGTACACTAAAAAAATTACCTGAGTTCTGACGGCCGAGTGGACAGCGCTCGGGATTCGTAGTCCTTATGGGTACCTGGGAGTTAGACAGCTGCTACGGGTTGCTTCCTGGGGATGTGTAACAAAAAGGAGGCCTGGTCGAGGACTGGGCCGCGGGGACGCTAAGCCCCGAAATCATCTCAAGATAGTTCTGAATGTGAGAGTGAGGGCGGCCCTGCTGGTGGGCGGTGTGGGCGGCCCTCCTGGTGGTCGGTGAGGGCGGCCCTCCTGGTGGGCGGCCCTGCTGGTGGGCGGTGTGGGCGGCCCTCCTGGTGGGCGGTGTGGGCGGCCCTCCTGGTGGGCGGTGTGGGCGGCCCTGCTGGTGGGCGGTGAGGGCGGCCCTCCTGGTGGGCGGTGAGGGCGCCGGGCTGCCACAAACGTGACGGGCTTAATCCATCATCCACGTTTTATTCCTCAAACTCATTAACTGTTCGCTGGAGAACACGCAAGGGAGATTATAGTGAAAAGAGGAGGAAGAGGAGACGAGGAAGAAGAGGAGACAGGCAAAGAAAATGATAAGAGAAGGCAGGAGATGAACTGAAGATGAGAGAGGCTAAAATAGAGGAGACAGAGAGAATGAGAAAACACAAGAAGCGTACAAGGTAAGAGAAACAGGAAAACACGAGAATTAGAGATAATGACAATAAACATTGTCTGGTTTTCTGGTGGGAAAACTCTGGTTTCTGTATATATTTCTGTTTAAATTTTCTTCATAACGATTAGCATTTAACCAGTAGTGAGGTTAAAGGTTGGCCCCCGTTACAACGCTATGTTGACATAGTGACGGTATGTTGACATATTGACGGTATGTTGACATATTGACGATATGTTGACATATTGACGATATGTTGACATATTGACGGTATGTTGACATATTGACGATATGTTGACATATTGACGGTATGTTGACATATTGACGATATCTTGTTTATTTGGCTTCAAGTCCCTCCCACAAGACCAAATTACCAAAAAGAGGTGCGATATGTGACCAACCAATATCCCCCTTTGCCTGAACAGTTGTGAACAGTTCCCTTTCCCTTTGTCAAGCGAAAATCACACAAGTATGGAACTCATTTTTGCCAAGAGACTTGTTGACACTTCAATAATTCAAGTCTTGTAAACGAGCGCCACACAACATGCAAGAATATGCAATATACGTATAGAACCCCATCCTGGAGGGAAGTAAGAACCCCCACACAGGGGCAAGAACTCCCCCACCCAGGGGCAAAAAAACCCCCACCCAGGGGGAAGAAAACTCTAAACAATCAACTCCAAAAGTTCATTCCCGACCGCAATAAGGTTCGCTCCTTCAATCGTACGTTTATGTAGTGGAAAATGCTCGAGGCGTAGAAGGGAGGGGGGGATATTGGATGGCTGGAATGGGTGAGGGTGGGAGGGAAGGAGGGGGGGGGGGACATGGAGTGGGGGGATTGGGAGGAGGGGGTGACGGAAGAGAGGGAAAATCCATTGGCTGCTATTTCAGAGGATTGGAGAATGAACGACACCCCTCCCCCCCTCTACTAAATGGATCTGGTGCAATGGTGGAATGGAATTCATACTGACGAGGGTAGTGGAAAATTGAAATTGAAAGGGAAGGGGGGGGGGTGTTGATCTGGAAGGGGAGAAAAAGAGAGGGTACAGGGTGTTGTGGTTCTCTTGGGGGGAGGGGGGGGAAGTAGATGAGAGAATGAGGAAAGGAGAGGTAGAGACGAGAATCAAGAGAGATGGAGGGACAGTGAGAAAGACAGGAAAGGTGGGAAGAGTAAAATAGGGGGGGGGGCAAGGAAGGAAGGAAGGGAGATAGGGAAGAGGAAAGGAAAGAATGGTGATGTTGCAAAGCCACATGATATAATAGCATGATGTTGCAAAGTGTATAGGAACTACAAGTTGCAACATAATTGCAAAAGGAAAAGCGAGAGGAAGGGATGATGATGATGATGGAAGACATTGAGACAGACAAAAGAGGGAAGGAAGAGACAAATAAAGTAAATTAGGTAGAGAGAGAGGTAGAGAGCGAGAGGGGTCTCTCTCTCCCTGTGATGGAGGTAAAGAGGATGGGGGAAAGGGAAAGGGAGAGGTAGATAGCGAGGCCATATACACACATAGTAACGAAAAGATACGCAGGTTCGAGTCTAGGAGACTCGAACCGTGGACCCCCACGTGTGTGAAGCCGAAGCTCTACCAACCGAGCTATTGAGCAGCCTTAATAGGGAAAGATGCTGCTTTAATTGCGCTCCAGTCTTGGTTTACAAGTCCGTATAATGATTTACGATTTACAAATCATTTATTTATGATTTACAAGTCCAATTACCTAACCACATGGCTAACTGCAAACCTAGCCAAAGGAGAGAAATCTGTCTCCTAGCCACTATAGGAACACCAGGACTACAACTCCCGGTCCCAGCTCTACCTACGAGAGTCCTGGTTCTGGTCCTCGGTGTCTCCTCTGGCTGGCTACAGGAAACTACTCTCCACCAACCAACCAACTGTAGGGAGCCGGTCGGCCGAGCGGACAGCACGCTGGAATTGTAATCCTGTGGTCCTGGGTTCTATCCCAGGCGCCGGCGAGAAACAATGGGCAGAATTTCTTTCACCCTATGCCCCTGTTACCTAGCAGTAAAATAGGTACCTGGGTGTTAGTCAGCTGTCACGGGCTGCTTCCTGGGGGTGGAAGCCTGGTCGAGGACCGGGCCGCGGGGACACTAAAGCCCCGAAATCATCTCAAGATAACCATCCACAAGCGTCATCATATTGACTACAATGAATCGCTGTTAACTACTTGGCTTCCTCCAATTATATTGTTATCATTATTATAATCATCATTTCATCATGAGTTTCCCCAGACGACTAGTGCTAGTTCAACTAGCACATGAAGCTACCTTGGTTACCTTGAGGTGCTTCCGGGGCTTAGTGTCCCCGCGGCCCGGTCGTCGACCAGGCCTCCTGGTTGCTGGACTGATCAACCAGGCTGTTGGACGCGGCTGCTCGCAGCCTGACGTATGAATCACAGCCTGGTTGATCAGGTATCCTTTGGAGGTGCTTATCCAGTTCTCTCTTGAACACTGTGAGGGGTTTGCCAGTTATGCCCCTTATGTGTAGCATGTTATAGAGACCGTGTATCCGTAATCCTCTCCGGTGTGCCTGTAATCCTCTCCGGTGTGCCTGTAATCCTCTCCGGTGTGCCTGTAATCCACTCCGGTGTGCCTGTAATCCACTCCGGTGTGCTTGTAATCCACTCCGGTGTGCCTGTAATCCACTCCGGTGTGCCTGTAATCCACTACGGTGTGCCTGTAATCCTCTCCGGTGTACCTGTAATCCTCTCCGGTGTGCCTGTAATCCACTCCCGTGCCTGTAATCCTCTACGGTGTGCCTGTAATCCACTCCGGTGTGCCTGTAATCCACTCCGGTGTGCCTGTAATCCTCTCCGGTGTGCCTGTAATCCTCTCCGGTGTACCTGTAATCCTCTCCGGTGTGCCTGTAATCCACTCCGGTGTGCCTGTAACCCACTCCCGTGTGCCTGTAATCCACTCCCGTGTGCCTGTAATCCACTCCCGTGTGCGTGTAATCCACTCCCGTGTACCTGTAATCCACTCCCGTGTGCCTGTAATCCACTCCCGTGTACCTGTAATCCACTCCCGTGTACCTGTAATCCACTCCCGTGTACCTGTAATCCACTTCCGTGATATGGCGGAATTTTGACTCCTGAACGTGATTTTTGAGCCGATTTCTGACTCTCTGCACCTATTTTCATTTTCACATTACGAATTTTTATACCGAAAATATGACAATTACTGAAAACAGCGATGGGTCATATTTTGCTTAAACCCCCCTGCAGTTTTCAAAATATCAGAAATGTCGGAAATTTCACTCATGAGCATGATTTTTGTACCGAATTCTGACTCTGCACCTATTTTCATTTTCACATTACGACTTTTTATACCGAAAATATACCAATTACTGAAAACAGCAATGGGTCATATTTTGCCCAAACCCCAGCTGCAGTTTTCAAAATATATAAAATGTCGGAAATTTGACTCCAGAGCGTGAATTTTGAGCCGATTTCTGACTCTCTGCGCCCATTTTCATTTTCAAATTACGACTTTTTATACCAAAAATATGCCTTATGGTACTTATGTACGTAAGTACATAAGTACCAAACACATACCCATAAAGGTACCATACTCAATCCCATATAAGTGTCATACATATGCCCATATAAGAACAATACATATGCCCATTGAGGTACCATACAAAAGCTCTTATAAGTAACATACATATGCCCAAAAAGGTACCATACTTATGCCCTTATAAGAACAATACATATGTTCTTATAAGTATCATACATATACCCTTATAACTACCATACATATGCCCTTATAAGTACCATAAATGCCCATATAAGTACCATTCATATGCCAATATAGGTACCATACAAATGCCTTTATAAGTAGCATACATATGCCCAAATTAGTACCATACTTATGCCCTTATATGTACAATACATATGTGCTTATACGTTTCATTCATATTCCCTTATAAGTACCATACATACCCAAATAAGAACCATACATATGCCAACAAAGGTACCATACAAATGCTCATATGAGTACCATACATATGC